TATATATATATATATATATATATATATATATATATATATCAATAATAGCCTGATTTTACGATCCCTGATGATGAGATACAGGAAAATAGCAAAAAGAGCATGTTGTCACAAATCATGTTTTCAGGGCAGAGTGAACCAGATGTTAAGGTGGATTTAGAGTGTTGTGTTATACATGGTGCTTTTTAAATTCAATTAGTTAGCTTGTCCAGTATAAGCACAACTCCAAATCGGCTCATCTTAGTAAGTTGTATGGAATGGGGACAAAGGCTGTAGCCTGTCAAACCCAAAGTGTGTAATGGACAAGATTAAAGAAATTCACAAGTGGTTCAACTGGCTGGAATCAAGTGAGGATGAATCATTGGACTTCCCCAGATTATATGAGCTCATCATGAGCGAGGCATTAACCTTTTTCAACCTCATCAGTATGGTTGAGAATGTTAGCATGTCCAATAGAGGCGGGCTTGGTATCTTTGACCAGTATTTCCATTATTGATTGTCCATCATTTTCTCCTTTCTTTGGATCAGAAAATGTCAGAAAATGGTGAAAAAAGGTTATCACTGTTTCCCAAAGTAACGTCCTCAAATGTCTTGTTTTATCCACAACCCATTGATATTCAGTTTACCGTTGTACCACTCACTTGAGAAGCTGAAATCAGAGACTTTGGAGATTTTTGTCATAAAAAATGACGATTAATCAACTAATCATTGCCACTCTACCAGTGAGTGAATTAAAGTGAATGTGTAGCCTAGAAGTAGTTTGGGTTACAGTGTATTATTACAATTACACACTGAAATGAGCGATATAAACTAAACTGATCTCATGTGAATTGGACTTATTTCACATTTCTTCACCAACCTCTCCTGGTGTTCTAATATGGTTTGATGATGGTTTTCACTTTTCACCATTTGTATAAAAAGTGAAAGGTGTGCTCATGTAATATTAATTCTGCAATTTACAAGCACTTGAATCAAGAGGTAACCTGAAAGTCTTAACAACTCGGCTGTGTATCAATTCTAACTTCATTGTCATCTCCTGAGCTTCACTGTGAGGGGCTGTTTTGAAAAGGGGGGGACACAGTAAGCCTTCCTGTCACTAAATTGCCATCTCTCTCCTGTCTTCCTGTAGTATCTGCCTGTAGTGGCCAAAGAATGATGGGAAAACTGGGGTTAAAGGCGGGACAGAATCAGTAGGAGGGCAAGGCAACCGCAGAGAGGGACGTCTGGAGGGCGTCACAGAGGTGGGGATGTAAGGAGGAAGGAGCTGGAGGGCTGGAGGAAGAGAGAAAGGAAGGTAGGGGGTTAATTGTGGAGTCTGAATAGAGGATTAACCCCCCTGCAGACCCACAAACACACACTATGGATTAATGCTGCACACCTGAAAGGGCCCACATTGGACACACAGCAGCCACGGTCCTGCCGTATATATTCTAATGCTTCCGAATAGTTCTCAGGGATCTACTCACTTTGTACTACATATCATAAACCCAATCCGCAGAGTCACGCTTGTCTGAGTGAGAGGATTTTCCGAAGACGGACAAGGAAAACAAAGAGGGAGGGATTCTCCTCAGTTCGACTGTGAAAAGTCCTCATCAACTTGTGAATAATATCACTTGGCAGCCCTGGAAGTGGTGGCAGACAGCCCTGTGTTTGGTGACAAGCATGATTGGATTGTCATTCTATCTTTTCCTATTTTGTTGTTCAAGAAATGCCCTATGGGTGGCTCATAGTGCCAAAACATCTTTAGCTTCTCTTGGAGAAGAATTTGGGTGAGGTAATCTGTCCTCAGCAGGGCTGAGTGCCCAAAGAATGATAGCTAAAGTCCAGATATTGGACAGTCATTCCACTGCCAAGATAATGAAATTATTGGTCAGAATGTAAGCAACTGTAATAATAATTAGCATGTAATTTCCTGGTGATTCAATGAAAGACTAGGAACCACTGTCGACAAGATTCAATCTCCACATACACTAAATATTTATTGATATTTAACCAATTAAATATCAGTCAACATAAAAGTTATTTTAATTAGGCCACACTGGACTGAAACTTTTGATCGCTTTGAGCCATTACAAGTGGGTGACCCTGTCCCTTTGAAAGAGCAAATAACACAATCTTTCTGAGTGAACAGATTATTACAGATCACTGGAGTTGTGTGAAGTCATCCCAGTGGCCATAGTTAAATGTATCCCTGGGGCCAGAGCGGGTGACATTGAATCCTATTTAAAACTGCTGGCCAAAGATAAACGTAAATACAGATTGTTATCCACGTCGGCGGTAATGACACCCGTTTACGCCATTTGGAGGTCACCAAAATTAATGTGGAGTCGGTGTGTAACTATGCTAAAACAATGTCGGACTCCGTAGTTTTCTCTGGACCCCTGCCAAATGTGATCAGTGATGACATGTATAGCCGGATGTCGGACTTCCACCGCTGGCTGTCGAGGTGGTGTCCAGCAAACGATGTGGGCTTCATTGATAACTGGAAGCCACCTAAATTATTTAAAGAAATACAAACAAGAGGAGTTCAACATAAAAACCTAATAAAAATTCAAACTAACTCCTCAGTAGCACAAAATAAGAGAATGAAATGTGGGCTGTTAAATATCAGGTCTCTGTCCTCTAAAGCTGTTTTAGTGAATGAATTAATATCAGATTATGATATTGATTTACTTTGTCTTACTGAGACCTGGTTGTCCCACGAGGAGTATGTTAGCCTAAATGAATCCACCCCCCCCAGTCATATTAATACTCACATTCCTCGAGGCACCGGCCGAGGAGGTGAAGTAGCAGCCATATATGATTCAAGCGTTTTAATGGACCCTAAACCTAAACTAAATTATAATTCATTTGAAAGCCTTGTTCTTAGTCTTTCTCACCCATCCTGGAAAACACTGCAGCCACTTCTATTTGTTATAGTGTACTATAGTTTTATATCTGAATTTTCAGAGTTTCTATCAAGTTTAGTCCTTAAATCAGATAAAGTAATTATTGTAGGTGATTTTAATATTCATGTGGATGTTAACAATGACAGCCTTAGTAACGCATTTATCTCATTAATAGACTCAATTGGCTTCTGTCAGAGTGTAAATAAACCAACTCATTGTTTTAATCACACTCTTGACCTTGTTCTATCATATGGCATTGATATTGAACATTTAATAGTCTTCCCATATAATCCTTTCCTATCGGACCATTATTTAATAACTTTTGAATTCATACTATTAGATTATAAGCCATTAGGCAAAAATGACAGTGCTGTAGCTAAATTTAAGGAGGAGATTCCTTCAGTATTTAATTCAATGCCATGTCTGAATTTAACAGAGTCCTATAACAACTTTAGTCCCTCTGAAATTGATAATCTTGTCAATAGTGCTGCAGGCTCACTACAATAAACATTAGACTCTATCGCTCCTATAAAAAGGAAATTATTAAAACACAGGAGACTAGCACCGTGGTACAACCACCAAACCCGCCAGTTAAAGCAAATAGCTAGGAAATCTGAAAGGAAATGGCACTCTTCCAAATTATCAGAAATCGCTCAATTTGGCATAATAATCTTAAAACATATAGAAAGGCCCTCCGTAATGCCAGAGGAGCCTATTATTCCGCACTAATAGAAGAAAATAAGAACAACCCTAGGTTCCTCTTCAGCACTGTAGCCAGGCTGACAGAGAGTCACAGCTCTATTGAGCCACATATCCCCATAAACTTAAGTAGCAATGACTTCATGAGCTTCTTTTATAATAAAATTATTACTGTTAGAGAGAAAATTAATCACCAACTGCCATCAACAGTTATCAGTGGCTCTCCAAGTTCAGGGACTTTTACTAATGTAAACTTAAATATATATTTAGACTGTTTTTCTGCTATCGATCTTCACCAGTTAACTTCAATAATTTCTTCATCGAAGCCATCAACCTGTCTGTTAGACCCGATCCCAACTTGGCTGCTTAAAGAAGTTGTTCCCTTAATTGGCACTTCTTTACTGGATATGATTAATCTTTCTTTATTATCAGGATATGTACCACAGTCCTTTAAAGTAGCTGTAATTAAACCCCTTCTTAAAAAGCCCACTCTTGACCCAGGGGTTTTAGCCAACTATAGACCAATCTCTAACCTCCCCTTCCTCTCTAAGATTCTGGAGAAAGTAGTCGCCAAAGAGTTGTGTGACTTTCTAAATAACAATAGTTTACTTGAGGATTTTCAGTCAGGATTTAGAGTTCATCATAGCATAGAGACAGCTCTGGTTAAAGTTAATAATGACCTTCTGATTGCTTCAGACAATGGACTTGTCTCTGTACTTGTATTATTAGATCTTAGTGCTGCATTTGATACCATTGACCATGATATTCTTTTACAGAGACTTGAGCATCAAATTGGCATTAAAGGAACCGCATTAAGCTGGTTTGAGTCATATTTATCAGATCGTTCGCAGTTTGTACATGTTAACAATGAATCTTCAATAAATACTACAGTTAGTCATGGAGTTCCACAAGGTTCTGTACTTGGACCAATACTATTTACTTTATATATGCTCCCTTTAGGCAACATTATTAGGAATCACTCCATTAACTTTCACTGTTATGCAGATGATACACAGTTATATCTATTGATTAAAGCCCGATTAAATGAATCAATCTAAATTACAAACATGTCTTAAGGACATAAAATCCTGGATGAGCTGCAATTTTCTGATGTTAAACTCAGAAAAAAACGAAATTCTTGTTCTTGGCCCCAAAAACCTTAGAGACTCACTGTCTAAATATATAGTTACTCTAGATGGCATTACCTTGGCCTCTAGCACCACTGTCAGGAATCTTGGAGTTATCTTTGATCAGGATTTGTCATTTAACTCCCACATAAAGCAAACCTCCAGGACTGCCTTCTTTCCTTTACGTAATGTTACAAAATTACACACATCCTATCACAGACAGATGCAGAAAAACTAATCCATGCATTTGTTACTTCAAGGATGGATTACCGCAACTCTTTGTTATCAGGTTGCCCCAATAAGTCCATTAAAACGCTTCAATTAATTCAGAACGCTGCAGCACGAGTACTGACAGGAACTAGAAAAAGAGATCACATCTCTCCTGTACTAGCTTCTCGGCACTGGCTCCCTGTAAAATGTAGAATAGAATTTAAAATCCTCCTCCTCACCTATAAAGCTCTTCATGGTCAGGCCCCTTCATATCCTAAAGAGCTCATAGTACCCTATTACCCCTCTAGAACACTACGTTCTCTGAATGCTGGGCTACTTGTGGTTCCTATAGTCTCTAAAAGTAGAACAGGAGCCAGAACCTTCAGTTACCAAGCTCCTCTCCTGTGGAACCAGCTTCCAGTTGTGGTTCAGGAGGCAGACACCCTCACCACATTCAAGAGTAGGCTTAAGACATTCCTCTTTGATAAAGCTTATAGTTAGGGTTGGATCAGGTGAGTCCTGAACCATCCCTTAGTTATGCTGCTATAGGCCTAGACTATCGGGGGATTTCCCATGGTGCACTGAGCTCCTCCCTTCCTCTCTCTTTCTGCACTCATTCATGTCCCATTAATGCATGTTACTAACTTCAATTCTTCCCCGGGGGTTCTTGTGCTTTCTCGTCTCGCAGGTTCTTATCGATCCTGGTGGAGCCTCCTGCCATGGTCCTGCTAGATTGCCATTGCCAATACTGTTGTTGCTGTGTACCTGTCTGTCTGTCTGTCTCTCTCTCTCTCTCTCTCTCTCTCTCTCTCTCTCTCTCTCTCTCTCTCACCCCAACTGGTCGAGACAGACGACCACCCACCTAGAGCCGAAGGATCTGTCCTAGGTTTCTGCCTTTTAACAGGCAGTTTTTCCTTGCCCTTGTTGCCAAGTGCTTGCTCATGGTTGTACTGTTGGGTCTCTGTAAATAATGTTTTAAAGAGTTCGGTCTAGACCTGCTCTATTTGAAAAGTGTCCTGAGATAACTTCTGTTATAAATTGGCGCTATACAAATAAATTTTATTGAATTGAATTAAATTAAAGGACATTACAGGCCTGCTGGACCCCATGCAGTTTGCCTATCGAGCAAACAGGTCAGTGGATGATGCCGTCAACATGGTACTGCACTACATCCTTCAACACCTTGACTCTCCAAGGTGACGAGTCTGCATACAGATGGGAGGTTTGGCACTCTGGTCTTGTCAGAAAAACCTGGAGCTTAATACGCTCAAAACTGTAGATATGACAGAGGACTTTAGGAGGAGCCCCCTAACTCTGCCCCCATCACTATACTCAACAGCCCTGTGTCTACTGTGAAAACCTTCAGGTTTTTGGGATCCACAATCTCCCAGGCCCTTAAGTGGGAGTCCAACACTGACACCATCATCAAGAGGGCTCAGCAGAGGTTGTACTTACTGCGCCAGCTCAAGAAGCTCAACCTGCCTAAGGAACTGTTGATCCAGTTCTATACTGCAATCCTTCAGTCTGTTCTCTGTTCATCCATTCATCCAGGACAGTCAGGCCTGCAGAGAGGATCATTGGTGCCAACCCCATTGCTGGTGCTGCCCTCCATTCAGGACCTTTACCTGTCCAGAGTCAGGAAACAGGCAGGTAACATCACTGCAGATCCATCTCACCCTGGACACAACCTGTTCCAACTCCTCCCCTCTGGTAGGTGCTACAGAGCACTGTTCACCACAACAAAGAGACACAGGAACAATTTCTACACACAGGCCATCACTCTGACCAACAGTTAACTGCCCTGTACAATAACCCTAGGACTTTTAATGAAACCATTCATTACTTATTTTCCATTGCTGAAAATTCTGTTTCTTTGCATACTGTACTGTCATATCCACCGTCCCCATATAAATTTATTCATAAACATATCTCACTGGAAAGCTGCTGGCCCTAACCACCCAGCTCTACTTTATGGATATAAAAGAGTAGTGTGAGTTTGGGAAGGAATTTAATGGCAGGGGGATGGCAGCGTCCATCTGTAGAGTCACAGGGGGGTCTCTAATCTCAGTCCCTGAACCCCCCACGCCACAGCAGAGAACGACAGAGGAAATACTGTAAAATGGGAGGAAGAAAGGCGGCTATTATACATCAGCAGAGAGGCTATTTTGATGGCTCAGAGTTGTTACGAAGGAGGATTAGGGTGGATGTGTTTCTGGATGTCTGATTGGTGGCCAGAGAACAGAATAGTACATTACTGTATGTGATTTGAGGAACACGAAACTCGCTGCCGAAAACGTGCCAAAGATTGTTTGTATCGTACACACCGAAGTGAGTCACGGCAGATTTGAATGGCATTAAGTACATTCTCATACCTGACACTCTTTCCTACTCTGCGGTGTGCAGTATGCATTACAGTTCTGGAGTTGCATTGTGAGTATATTTTCATCCTAAGGCCATACATACTCACTCACAATCTTTACAAAGCCTGCAAGGAGGAACAGTTGTCTAAAGTTTTAACACTTATTATAATTTAAATTTTATTCAACACAATGATGCAAACATTTGTTTCCAAGCTTGTTTGCATGAGCAAAGTCACATTACAGCAATTAGTTCCAATTGTTCACAGTGTGATCATAAAGTAGCGTACAAATACCAATCAAACATGATATGTTGTATATCATAATTAACTTGTGTTTAACACTTCAACACAAATACCAGTCTGTAAGTTTAGAGTTAATACCTGGAGTGCAGTCGTAGTTGTGCTATACACTATTTAACATCAATTTTCAGTTAATAAAAAATTTTTCTTTGCTGATTTAATGATGGAATCATTAACTAACTTTGGAATTTCTTGTGAATACAAAAAGCAGCAGCTCTCATTCTACAATAATGTTAAATAGTCTGTGGCAAAATGAAACTGCAGGATAATGTCACTTAGAATTTACCTTAATTTCCCAAGGTCTTCTTAAATCAGTTCATAGTGAACTAAGAATCAGTTCATAGTGAACTGATTTATGTTTCCTTAAGTTCATTTTTAATAAAAAACATTTGTCATTTCCTTTTTTAAAGCTCCAGTGTGTAACAATTTGCAATGGCATAAATGTAATATGAAATTTCTAGGTACGTTTGTATTAATGTATAATGACCTGAAAATAAGAATAGTGTTTTTGTTACCTTAGAATGAGCTGTTTTTATCTACAGAGGGAGTGGGTCCTCTTCTACAGAGTTCGCCATGTTGAACCACCATGTTTCTACAGTAGCCCAGAATGGGCAGACCAGAATCAGAATCAGAAATACTTTATTAATCCCTGGGGGTTCATTTGTTTCCCAAACACTGGCTCTAGATTGGGCCTTTTGCGAGTTTTGTGGCCACCAAAGTTTCTGCTACACAGTCGTAAGGCGAGCGGTATTCATTGCAACTTCACCACCAGATGCCACTAAATCCTCCACACTGGTCCTTTAAAAGTTACATAACCTTTGACAAGAGTGGACTTTGTGGCTGAGAACGCTACAAGCCACCACCAATATTTCACCCATTGGTTCTACAGCAGTGTCAGAACCTCACTAAACCCTGGTCGGGTGCAGGGTCATAAAGCCAGGTCATGTTAAGCCATTCAGACCAACAGCAAACACAGGTTTATCACGGGTCACTGCACTGTAGACTGAAAGGGAGTATTAACTGACTGGATGGAACAACCAGTGACGGTAACCACCCTCAAACTAGAGACCTCTGTGTCCGAGAGGTGTCAGTTAAACTCTTTGGTTATTTTTGAAACAGTACATATGGTATGTAGGGAAGTCAAATGATAATGTGAAGTGAAAGTTGCAAAGAAATCTTTTTCTTTTTTTTTTAAAATATTTCCTTACAATCTTCATCATCTTTTATACAATTGTTTATACATCAGCATCCATTCCACACATATATATTAATATATTCATATGAGTGTATATGTGTATATATGTATATGTTTATATGTGCACATATATACTGTTTATTTGTATATACACACATAAACATATATACATGTATACATACATAAACACACACCTTTTCTGCAAATTACAATTATCATTTATTATTATTATTATAAATTAATAAATTGCAGAAAATTACAATACAAAACACAGTCAACTCAAAAACAATACAAAATAAATAAAGAGATAAATTAAAATGCAAGAAATTATTTTTAAAGGGGGAGACATTAGATTAATCCTGATGTATCATATTAAACATCTGTGTGTAAACACTCCTGTATTTAAACTGCTCGCTCTCAGGAGGAACAGAGATGGGGCACTGAAGCACAACACAAAGGAGTTTCTTATTTCTTCCTCTACCATGGCCTCAGGCAGCCCAGCTCTCCTGGACCCCTGTGTATGTGTGTGTGTGTGTGTGTGTGTGTGTGTGTGTGTGTGTGTGTGTGTGTGTGTGTGTGTGTGTGTGTGTGTGTGTGCGTGTGTGTGTATGTGTCTGTTTGTTGGGAATCTCACAGGACATCAGAGGGCTCCAAGATGCTCCACTCAGTGATTAGCTGTGCTCAGCAAGCTCCACAGAGAGCCGCTCAGACACACTTGGTTTCACACATACACACACACACACACACACACACGCACGCATAGTTTGTCAGGCTGACGGAGACAGGCAGACTGGCAGGCCCACTTGTCACTGGCTAAGCTGATGAACTGACAAGTGTGTGTGTGTGTGTGTGTGTGTGAGAGAGAGAGAGAGAGAGAGAGAGAGAGAGAGAGAGAGAGAAATCTTGCTATATAATGCACGTCTGTGTTTATATGTTTAATTTTCGTGTGCACCAGACTAACGGCATAACTAAAGGATAACAGCATGCATGCATATTGTGCGTGCGGACCTGAGCAGCAGGGGTCTGGTCGTGCTTGTTTAGACACTGGCGTTGACTAAGCCTGAGCTCAGCGTGATGACTGATGCTGACAGACAGAGAGACAGACTGAGGACATGATGAAAGCCTCTGTATCACAGTCCAACATTCTCAACACAAATATACTGTCACAGGGCCGGCCTGGGCTTTTTGGTGCCCTAAGCAGGATTTTATTTGAGTAGCCCCCTCCCCCCAACTCACTGTAAAAACATATCGGTAACATGCTTTCAGAGCTCGGTGAATCCTTCCCTTGTTGCAGCAGTCATCAAAAACCTTGCTGCTGTGTTTTCCATACTTCCAGCAGATGAGTAACATCAAAGGAATTCAAAGTGCATTTGACGGGAAATCCGTCTTTATGTTGACAACGTCTTACTCTCTTTGCAAGGCCCTCACAAATCCCCAAAAGAGGATATTAAACTTACCAAGACACTCTCAGCTATTCCACCGATTAGGGCCAAATCACCAACTGCACACAGCTCGTACACTGGAAGCTCTAGGTATTTAAACGTCACCCCCAAGCTGTAGACCTGTGCAGGCTCAGCTCTTGCCTTATTCACAATGACATAAGCTGACTATTTTTTTGTGATAAAATCTAAGGACAGACATACAGAGA